ACTCAAGTATATAGGCATAAGAATAGTTTGATCACCAAAGTCTTGATACGAACTCAAGAATATAGGCATAAGAATAGTTTGATAATCAGAGTCTCGATACGAACTCAAGAATATAGGCATAAGAATAGTTTGATCACCAGAGTCTCGATACGAACTCAAGAATATAGGCATAAGAATAGTTTGATAACCAAAGTCTTGATACGAACTCAAGAATATAGGCATAAGAATAGTTTGATAACCAAAGTCTCGATACGAACTCAAGTATATAGGCATAAGAATAGTTTGATCACCAGAGTCTCGATACGAACTCAAGAATATAGGCATAATAATAATTTGATAACCCCAGTCTCGATATTAAATTCTTAGCTTATTGTGATAATTTTTTATTGACATAGAAATATGAAGTCTATAGACACATTATTCGTTTTTATAATTTTTATAAATAACGGTAACATGTCTCGGGATCATTGTATTCTGTACACAAATAACGGTAACGTGTATTGGGATCAGTGTATTCTGTACACAAATGGTGTAATTAGTGAAAGCTAATGTCTAACTGTTTGATTTAGGCTTATTTAAATCACTGAACAACAACAACATAGGAAACATAGATGTAGCACAATGTTTATATGTTCTTAGATCGCTGATTTAATTTAGGGTTAGTAACAACTAATGTATAATTCTGTTTTGAGAACTCTGGACTGCTCACTTGGCTCAGCTCGTGCACGGAAGCTTCCTACCAAATACCCTTCCCCTCTCTCGTCCCCCTCGTTTCTCAATCTCTGGTTTCCTGTTGTCGTACACCGCTCAGGTACGTGCAAAATCGATCACGCGCTGCTCACTGTACAATGCACGCATGTGCATGGCTTTAGCCTCTAGCCATTCACTGATACAATTGTTTCGAAAAATTCCCAAAGCATTCATTGCATAAAATAACCAAACATTTAAGAGAAAAAGCTTACCACTACAAGAGCTCAGATGTTAGAACCCCAAGCCAAAACTCTCCTTGTTATTTACATGTCACAAACCTCGCGTGTCGAGATATTTTCGAAGAAGCCTTTGTGGTGATACAATAATACACTTATCAAATTATTCGGTAGGCGTGTTCAATAGCAGTAAAAGAAACGTTTCCTTGTGTTCGCTATAAAAAGGTTTAAATATAGATAAAACTGCCATTGCTTCAGATGCAATCAGATCTTACAATGTTTGTCTATTGTTCGAGGGTTAATCTATTTAAGTTGCAATGTATTAAATACCATACTTGTCGTATATCTGGAAAACTAAGTGCTGTTTGTTTGTAATTAAGCACAAAGCTACACAAAGGGCCATCTGTGCTCTGCCCACCACGCGTATCGAAACTCGATTTCTAGCGTTGTAAGTTCGCAGACGTACCGCTGTGCCACTGGAGGGCAAACTAAGTGCTGATTATAAGTGTTGCTCTACGCACTCTGTATTGAAAGTGGGAAGTCTTAGTAACCCAGAATATGTGTATTAATGACGGTTCGACATGAACGACTTTAATATTTTAGAAGATAGTGTGAATACTTAACTTCACACGGAATGTTTCTTGAGGTTGACACTTCAGATGTTTTAATCAAATCACTTATAAAACTAGATACCATTAGAATCCAGATCTGGAACAGTTCAGATAGTTGTCTTACTTTGAAGCTTGTCGTTATCTGCCTGTTTTACGCCCATACTCTTCAGTAAAAACTTGATATTAGCCCTAATCTCTGATAGCATGCCTTTATCAGTAACATTAACAAGTTTACCAAGAAATCAGTTAACCATGGTCATACTCAGAGCTAACAACTTTAATAGCAACTATACTAGCAGTCAGAGCTAATACGTTCACCAGCTAACAATATTCACTGTCAGAGCTAAACAGGTTTACCAACAAATCAGTTAACCATGGTCATACTCAGAGCTAACAACTTTAATAGCAACTATACTAGCAGTCAGAGCTAAATAGGTTTACCAAGAAATCAGTTAACTATGTTCATACCCAGATCTAAGAAGTTTACCAAAAAATCAGTTAACAATGGTCATACTCAGAGCTAAAAAATTCACCAGCAAATCAGTTAACTATGTTCATACCCAGATCTAAGAAGTTTACCAAGAAATCAGTTAACCATGGTCATACTCAGAGCTAAACATGTTTACCAACAAATCAGTTAACTATGTTCATACCCAGATCTAAGAAGTTTACCAAGAAATCAGTTAACCATGGTCATACTCAGAGCTAAACAGGTTTACCAACAAATCAGTTAACTATGTTCATACTCAGAGCTAAACAGGTTTACCAAGAAATCAGTTAACTATGTTCATACCCAGATCTAAGAAGTTTACCAAGAAATCAGTTAACAATGGTCATACTCAGAGCTAAACAGGTTTACCAACAAATCAGTTAACTATGTTCATACCCAGATCTAAGAAGTTTACCAAGAAATCAGTTAACTATGTTCATACTCAAAGCTAACTAAAAAATTCACCAGCAATTCAGTTAACTGCATACTCATAGTCAGAGCTACTACGTTCGTTAACATATTAGCTAACCATACTCATACTCGAAGCTTTATTCGTAAGTACATATTTAACAGACAGTTAAGAAACGCTTGTCGAGTCTTAAAGATTCGCATATCCTTAACTGCATTAAGTTAATCGAAATGTGCCTGTTACTTTTTAAGACCATTTAACTCGCAACTGTAGAATCGTCATTTAGGTCAAAACTAAAATCCGTTGAATGTATTTTTTTTTTACAGAAGGACCTGGCATGGCCTGGTGGTTAGGGCGATCGACTCGCAACCTACAGGTCGTGGGTTCGAATCTCTTCACTAAACACTTTTCAGCTGCGAGGGCGTTATAACGTGATGATCAATTCTACTATTTGTTGATAAAGAGTAACCCAAGAGATGGCGGTGGGCAATGTTGACTAGCTATCTCTCGTTTCTAAATTAGGAACGGCTAATGCAGATAGTCCTCAAATAGCTTTGCGCGAAATTCAACAAACAACATTTGCAGAATATTTTCGGACCATGGTGGGTTTTTTGGGGATTAATTAATAAACATTCTTGCACCGCATATTTGAGGTTTTATCGGTAGACCTTTATCTTTTATAAGATTATCAAGTTTACTACACAAAAAGAACCATTGTAAGTTTATCTAAGCCATGACTCGTAAGGCTTAAGATATTAAGTTGTGGTATAAGAACCTATCCGAGATTATTTGAATCTGCTAAACAGTTTTTTCTTCTGTCATAAATTTATGATTCAAAGTGTTATGTTGTATTTATCTAAAACGGTAGAGCAAAATGAAAAATATCATTATTTTCATTAAAACTAAATTGATAGATTGGTCTAAAGGTCAAGTTCTGAAGGAAGACCATGTTGTAAAAGCGCATGTCTCAGCTCAAAAACGCTGATGAATTAAAACACAGCGAATCTCCCATTTTCTAGAAGCTTCTTTGCTTAAGGTTTTAATAACTGTTTCCTGAGAAACCACAAGTGCGTAAATACTGTTTCCTGGAAAGCTACAAGTTTGTAATGATCGTTTCCTAAGAAATCACCAGTTTGTAATGACCGTTTCATGAAAAACTACAAGTGTGTAATGCTTATTTCCTGGGAAGCTACAAATCTGTATTAACTATTTCCCGGGAAGCCACAAGTTTGTAATGACTGTTTGATGAGAAATGTAAAAGAACTTGATATTTAGTTTTCACATAAGATAGTTACAGCGTGTTCAATGTGTTCTCTGGTTTGAAATGATCTATCTGAATTAGAAACGACTTGTTATGCATTTCTCAGTTATTCTTCATATCTTAAGAAAACAAGAACAGGAGTGCTTACACAACGCTAAATAGTCTTCATCCCATCAATCAAAAACAGACCAGGAATACTTGGAAAACACTGGATAGTTCTCAGCCCATTCACCAAAAACAAAACCAGGAGTACTTGGACAACACTGAATAGTCTTCAGCCCATTCACAAAAACAAGACCAGGAGTACTTGGACAACACTGAATAGTCTTCAGCCCATTCACCAAAAACAAGACCAGGAGTACTTGGACAACATTGAATAGTCTTCAGCCCATTCACCAAAAACAAGACCAGGAGTACTTGGACAACATTGAATAGTCCTCAGTCCATTCATCGTATACTTTGTTAGGTTTTTAAACGTCACAACTTCCCCAGTGACACATTCGAAGAATTTTAAGGACGCAAGAGCCAGATTTCTTGACCACATCCCATTCTTACTACCATTTTGGTGGATATTGTAATTTTATATGGCGCGTTTCCAAAATTTTATTATGCTTCTTCAGTTATCCCAAATAGCCGCCATTACACCAGATTTCTACACTCTGTACGTGACAAAAACACTGATATCACTCAAAGTAGTGCAGCATAAAGCATCTATACAAATGTATTTCATTTGGTCATCACGGCGTGTTTCATGGAATGAAACATACTGTGCTACCTAGGCCGAGTTCATGTGTTAGTATATATATATTTTATTAGTAAACCTTTACGCTCTTTCATAATGAAATAGTTTTTACGACTACCTTAGTTTTATTCACTCAGACATATATTTTCTAGTCTTGTGACGGACAGCATTAACTGGGTATGAAACTCATCCAGCTTGGATCCGAAGTTCTCAGCTGTCCATGATAAGAGATGAACAAGATGATAAGAGATGTATTTACCCAAGATGAACAAGATGATAAGAGATGTATTTACCTAAGATGAACAAGATGATAAGAGATGTATTTACCTAAGATGAACAAGATGATAAGAGATGTATTTACCTAAGATGAACAAGATGATAAGAGATGTATTTACCTAAGGTAAACAAGATGATAAGAGATGTATTTA